AGATATGGAGGGTCTATGTGGGGGAACAGCATTGCGGAAAGCCACAGGGAGGGGCCATACACTGGGGCCTCTGCGTCCCAAAGGCAGTGCCCCCCCACACCCCAGACACACACGAGACACATAAGCGGGAGGGATGTGTCTCCTGGGTCCCCAACGCCGGGTACCTTCATGCCGTGCTACACACTGGGCAGTGGGATCGCTCCGCGGAGCTCACGCCTGGCACGTGCCTAATGTGTAACGCTGCCCAGGCTGAGTGCACAGCCAGTATGGACTAGAGATCATCCAGCATCAAGCCACGAGGCGGGGCAGGGTCTGGAGCTGGGGGCACGGTAGGGTGGGGGAAGGGGGGGACACACACCCCTTTACGCCAAGCAGGGGACAAAGCAAAACCTAGATCCCCACGTGCCTGGACTCTGGGGACCCTGGGATCTGGGATGAGCGTCCTGAGCTCGTCTTCAATCCCGAGGCCTCATTTCAGGCTGGGTGTGGGACAGACCCCTGAGGAGGGGACTCCTGCCCTGGCTGACTCCGGCCCCACACACGGACCAACCCATTGTAGCTCCGAGCCAGGGGGCATCGGCGGGGCAGCAATCTTGCTCTGCCGCCCCCCTCGTGGCCCCTGCTGGAGTGACCCTGCGTCCACATGGCGGTAGGAGCAGGGGGTTACACGTCGGCCCCCGGCACACCGAGGCTGGCTGTGGATCCCACAGGGTTAGGCAGCACGGTAGGGAGCGGTCTGGACAGGTCTCCGAGAGGTTAAAGGTTACATACCCAGGACATCTGTACCAGGAGCAGGGGAGGAAGGAAGCAGCGCGGAGGGAAGGGGGGGGGAGGGAGAAAGAAAAAAGGGGAGGGGAAAAAAGGAGTGAATTGAACTGATCATCCCAGGAGTCAATGCGTCAGGCCCCGCCCCAGCCCAGCCCAGTGGGGTCAGCAGCCGCAGCTCACGCAAGCCCTGTTAGTCACCCCGCTACGCGACAGCACCAGTGCCCAGGAGACCCGAAACACGCCCCGGCCCTGCTGAATGGGAGTCATCGAGGCGCGTCACAACCCAGCATGCACTGGGGGGGCCCTGCTTGGTGTGGCCAAGCATCCCAGCATGCCTCGGGGCATGAGCGGCACCACCGGGCCTCTCTTTCCATCTAGCACAAGCAGGCGAGAGCAAAGCCAATTGGCCCTGCCCAGGAGCAGGCGAGGCAGGGAGCATGGGCCAGGAGAGCCCTTCCGGACAGGGCCAGGGGAAGAGATGCCCTGGGGCACGGTGGGCATTCCAGGGCCACCCGGGGATGAGGGAGGGGAGGACGCAGGAAGCCGGGGCAGCTCCCAGTGGATACAGTTCCAAGCCAGGCAGGCTTGAAAGGGTTCAACCTCCAAACCAGGCAGTCGGTCTAAGTGAGAGTCAGCCAAAAAACAAAACAGGCCCGGGGTAACCAAGCGGGGCTGGGGTGTGGGAGAGGGTTAAATCCACAGCTCCCCCCTCCCTTACCCCCCACCATGGCCTCACCCAGGCTGGAGCGGGTGCTGGAGCGCTCGATGATGGTGTGCTTGCTGGGATTGTTCAGCACGGAGCGCTTGGCCAGGGAGATATCGGCCGTCACCCGCGTGATGGAGATTCTGAGAGGGACAGAGCGAGGAAGAGAGCATGAAGGGGGGAGGGGGGCCTCTGGCATTCGCCGTGACCCCCAGCAGGGTGCCCGCCCCACCAGGGCCAGACAACAGGACCCCAAAGGAGCCCTGGGGGCAGAAGTCAGGGTGTGAACCCCGGCACCTTGGGGTCAGAATCCCCACAGGGGGAACAACGCCATCTGGGCTGCTCACTGCTGCCTGCCCGGCAAGGGGGCACAAGGCGAGAGGGCCGGACTCCTGGGTTCTCGTGCAGACAGAGTGCTTGGAGAGCCTCCGATGAAGATGGCTGGGGATGGGATAGGGGATAGTCTAGCTCAGACAGAGTGTCCTGCGTGCGGCCGACACGCTGGGATCTCTCTCTGTCGGACCCTATGGAGCCTGTCGCCGTGGTGACCAGGCGCTTGCATGGGGCGACGCCCGGAAACTGGGATTTTGAGTAAAACGCCATTTCCCTAGTGCCCAAAAAGGGCCGCGACGGGGGGGCGGGGCGGCGGGGTGGGGGAGTTGGCAGCATCTGTCCAAGGAGCCCCCGCACCTGCCGTCGAAACGATGCTTCAGGAAATCGAAGAGGGCTTTCTGCATCATGTCCGTCACCTGGGGAGAGAGGGGGACGATGGAGTCAGGCACCTGGGGGGCGGGAGGGAGGGGGAGTCGGGATTCACCGCATCAAGGTGGGTGGGCATGGGGGTGGAGGGGGGTTAGAAAAAGAGAGAGCAATGGACATCGGAGAGGTGGGCAGTGATTTCAGAGGTCAGATGCCACTGGCTCCCCCTGGCACAGACCCTCACGCCTGATCACTGTCACTGGAGAAAGCCCTCTCTGATACGATCAGTGTGGAGAGGGAGACAGAGCAGATGGGTCCCGGAGATGGAGAGAGGAGGGCATGGGCAGATGCAGAGGTGGAGTGGGGCAAGACAGGGAGGGTGGGGGGGAGTCGGTGAGACGGGAGGGGAGGGGGAAGAGGGAATGGCCGAGTGGATGGATGGACAGACAGATGGGGATGGGTGAAACAGGGTGAATGAGATCAAGGGTCACCTGCTCCCCAGGAAGTTGCTGAACATTCCACCTTCCCAGCCTGCCCCCCCCCCCCCCTGCACCCGCCCCAGGCTCACCTCGTACCCCTTCAAGGACGGCCCCACAAGAATGATCGGCCGCATGGAGGGCACCACGTCATACGGCGGCACATGCTCCGCCTGCCGGAGAGGGCAAAAGACAAGGTGTGACGTGTGCCCGGGGGGAGTCATCGGCCCAGGGGATCCAACCCCCATGGGGGCACTACAAAACCCAAGTGCCCTGCAGGGTAGGGGGAAAGCTGGCATCTTCTTGCGCTCAGGCTACCCAGCTCATGCTGATGCCCCCTTGGCTAGGGGCCGGATGGCCATGCTGGGAGGTTCTGCCTTTCTGCCATCATGGCCCAGCGCAGGTGGTGGCATTGGGTGCCGGGAGAGGGGAGCTGGTGGCATGGGAACACCCATGCTGTTGGCTCTGGTACACCGCTGGTGGAGGAGAAGCCAGGTGGGGAAGGATCATTATGGGGTCCCGGGCCCGCCCCCACCCTTTACAGGCAGGTCAAGTAAAGCCCTTTTACTCACCGATTTCTGCTTCTGCTTGGCTATGTCCAGTGATCACCATTAATGGGGCGGGGAGGGGGCAGGCGAGAGAAGATAAACAAGGCATGCGTGTTATTGACAGGTCACGCCAGCAGACACGCAGCGGCAGCGGGGAGGTTTCTGTAGCCGGCGGTGTGGGAAATGGGGACAGGCAGGGGAGGGGGCTCTGGAACCTGGCTCAGACTGCAAGAAGGAATGGGGGGGGGGGGGGTTTAAAGGGGGGGGGGGTGACCACGGGGGGGGGGGATGGCTTGGCTCCCACATGTGTCCCGCAGGTGCTACACAGCTCCCCCCTGCTCTCCACTTCACACCCGCCCTCTTCAATCCACACACCCTTGTTGGGGTTACACCCTGGCACTGCGAACACCCTCCCCCCTTGGCAGCACCAATGCCCTCCTCCCCTGCCCCCTTGGCTCACAGGCCCTTGCCCCCAGGCTGCCCCCCCTTGCCCTGAACTGAATCCCCCCCCAAACTGCTCCCCAGTTCTGTGGATCACTGGGGACCCCTGGGTAAGGAATGTCCTGGAACACCCTGCTGCAGCCCCTGCCCGTGTACTCTAGTGTGCCCCCCGGGCTGCTCAACAAGCAGCATCCCAGCAACCTCCAGGCCACAGGGGCCCAACGGGAGTCCCCCCCCCACCATCTAATGGGGGTAGGATGGGATGGGACAGTCGATGCCACTCCCATGTTTCCTGGGGGGGGGCAGGGAGGGGGAGTGTGCACTGGAACGTACCACTCCCATGCTTTACATGGGGGCGCAGCATTGGCACACTCCATTCCCATGCTTGGAGAACCGCTAGAACATTCCACTCCCAACTTTCGGGGGGGGGCAGCAGAGGCACTGGAACATTCCATTCCCATGCTTGGAGAACCACTAGAACGTTCCACTCCAGAGTTTCATGGGAGGGGGGAGGGAAACACTGGAACAATCCATTCCCATGCTTGGAGAACCGCTAGAACATTCCACTCCCAAATTTCATGGGGGAGGCCACCACTGGAACATTCCATTCCATGCTTTACATGGAGGGGTGGGGGGGGGGAATGCTTTAGACTTCACATGGTGTGAGGAGCTGCCAGAATGTTCCACTCCATGTTTCATGGGGGAGGAGCAGTGCTGGAACATTCCACTCCCATGCTTTATGCTGGGGGCATCGGAACCACTGGAATGTTCCATTCCCGCGTTTCACAGGGGCAAGGCAGCGCTGGACTGCTCCGTTCCCATGCTTCATGTGGGGAGGGTGTCAACAGAATTGCTCTTAACTCATAGGCCATATGTGTGATCACTGGAACATACCATTCCCATGCCTCATGTGCACATGTGTATGGGGGGGCCAGATGGGGGACACCCCCAATGGCTGCCTCCTTCCAGGCCATGCTGGAGACGGGGTTTCCTGGTGTGATGGGGAACACACCCAAAATAGCCTGCAAAGGGGACATCCAGCCCCAGCTATAGGTCCCCTGGTGCCTGTGAGATGCTGCTCTTTCCCCATAGTGTGCCCCACAGTAGGTGAACGACAATGGGACCACGTCCAAACCATGGCCCTTTCTGCCCCCCCTCCCCCCCCGAAACCCAAAGCTCCCCAACCAGGTCAGCGAGCCCCACACACAGGGTGAATCACGGGTATTAGCAGCAGGCGTGAGCGAGGGTGCGGCAGGCGGGTGCAGAGCCCCGCTCTGGGCTCCTTTACCTTCTTAAAGAAGGGGATGTGCTTGACGTTGGAGGGGGACGTGGTGACACTGCTGACGCTAGCCTTAGGGGATCGGGGGTTCTCCAGGCCCTCAGCCTCCTCCAGCTCTAAGTCAAGGGCGTCTAGGTCATAAGCTAAATGAGTCATGTCCAGAGTACCTGGGGGGCAGAATGGGGGGAGGGAGAAAACAAAAAGAAAGAAAGAAGGGAGGGAGGGAGGGAAGGGAGAAAAAGTAAAACAGAAAAAAAGAAACAGCTGAAAAGAACAAAAGAATGAAAAAATGTACTAAAGGGAGGAGGAAAAAATGATTCAGCGAACAAAAGGGAAAACTGAAAGGAGGGGGGGGGAAACCTGACGCTTCCCTGCAGACAACATAGAGAGGGGGTCAGAGTGGGGGCAGAACCATCAGGTACCCCACCTGCGAGGGCGACAGGGCGGCTGGTAGCAGGTTTCCTCTGCATGCCATGGAGGTGGGCATAAGTGGGCATGTCCAGGGGATGTCTGTGCCCCGGTGGGCAGACCTGGAGCCTTCCTGTGTATACGTCCTTCTGCCTGTGCCCAGTTGCTCATCCACACATGTGCATGACTCTCCATGTGCGTGCCAGCATGTATGGCGGGCCCCACATGCTCAGCCCAGTGCGAGAGCTCGTCAACCCGGCTGCCCATGTGTGGGACCCCCTGGGCACAGCCATGTGCTCCCCGCCAGTCCTTGGGTGCTGTGTATGTGCCTGTGTCTCAGCCCTGGCCTGCGTTTGTAGGGGGCATGGAGATTCCAGGAGCTGCAGTAGGATTGCTGAGAAGAGAGCTGGGCACTTCCAGGCCGGCATCCTTGTCTCTCTGCCACTGGGGCACTAGCTGGTCTCGGGCTAAAGGGGGAAGAGACCTGGCATTTCAGCCCTTTGTTATCGCCAAGGCCACAGCCAGAATCAGCCCCTCTCCATCAGTCTCTCTTAGCGGTGCAGTGAACTTTGCCAGCTGGGGGCTGTCCGCTGTCAAACAGCAAAGGGAGGGGGTGGTCTTACCACTGGCAGGCGGGGTGGGTCTGCGGGTCCCCGTCACCACATCTCCCAGGCTGGAGCTGGAGTTGTCCCCCGATTTGCTGCATGGGGCAGAAAGGCAAGGAGCAGTAAGTGCCCGGAGATAGGGAATTTCCTGCAGGGGGGGGAGCTGTGTGGGGGGGGGGGGGGGGGGGGCATTCTGGGAAGCAACAGAGGGCCCTACCACGGCAAATTCCATGCAAGGGGGAATTGCCCTCCATGCCCAGATTCTGAGAGAGACTTACATCTGGAACCGCAGCACCAGGACAATGCCATGTGCCCATCTAGCCTGATACCTCCTATTCCCCTCCCCCAGCTGGGATCAGACCACTGGGGCCAGAGTCCAGCACTCTCCCACTCACCCAGTGATGTACCAGATCAGATCAAGGGCCCATCTAGACAGCTATTCTCCCTACTGCGCCAGTTCAGACCAATGAGTCCACCTGTTCCTGCACGTTCTTCCTGACCCCTTCCCAGCCAGCACTCAGGTTCTGCCCTGAAGCATGGGGATGGAAGGCCCTTTGTATCCTCAGCTGGTGTCACTGCTGATCCTGGAGCTGGTTCTCCCCTGCCTGGCTCCTTGTGCAGGAGTTTACCACTGAGCAAAGGGAATGATGACCCAAGGTGCCCAATAATGAGCCCACTGGAAGGGCATGTTGATCCTCCTCCCACTCCCAGTCTCTCACTGGAGTGGATTTGCTCAGATGGCTACAGCTGGGTCTGCCTCAGTTACCCATAACCCACTGCTCTCAATCCCCAGGGGGGCCTTCCCCTCTGGTGCCCAGGGCTCCAGGCTGCATGTGGATGCTGCCAACAGCCGCGATTCCCCCTCTCTCCACTCCGCCCGGCTGCTCCACCTTGAGCTCAGGCGGTTTTGCCTCATCTTCTGCTCCTGCAGCATCCTCATGTTCTCCAGCTTGACGGGGCTGGGGATGAACCCCACCTCGCAGCCCTCCTTCACCAGGCGCCCGATCCACCAGTCGTTGTTGTATTTCTGCAGCACGGAGAGAAGAGGGGCCTGAGACACGGTGCCGAGCCCACCCTTCCCCCCCGGACCCGCGCCGAGCCCATCCCCCTCTGCACCGAGCCTGTCCCATCAATGCCATGCTGGGCCCGTGTCCTCTCCATGCCAAACCCACGCCCATCAACACAGTGCCGAGCCGGTTCCCCTGCCGTTGCGGTCCCCAGAGCCCCAGCCTGGCCTGGGCCCGCACCAACCCCTACCTCTTTGATATGCAGGAAGTCCTTGGGTTCGAAGGAGATGGCCATGCCCTGGACCGGCACGTCATCATTGGGGGACGGGTTGTAGCCCACGTTTGTCCTCACGGCAAATGCCACCAGCTTGGTCTGTTTAGCAGATGGGTTAGCGGGGGGAGAGGGAGGGAGGAGAGAGACGCTGGAAGGGCCCGGATCCCCCAGACAGAAGGTTGCGTTACTCTGGCATTTCAGAGAACGCCGTTACCTAGCAGCTGCAGAGACCAGCCAGGAAGGGAGTTAGCAATCCGGGGCCAAATTCTCACCCCTGATCCAGGAACATGGAACAGCCCCAGCCAACTCTCTCTCCTCCCCTCTCCACCATAGGAACCAAGGAGAAGGGGTCCCTCCCCAAAGGAACGGAGTGGACCCCCACCCCAAGAGCTGAGTGGTTCTTGGTCACAACAGCTGCCCCAAAAGAGGACCTGGGCGACCGAGCTGACCCACCTATAGAGGGGCCTGCCAGCGCCAGGGGAGATGGGGAAACCCTGCCTGGCTGGGCGATAAACAGAGGCCTTTGCTCTGCAGGCAATGCCGATCTGGTACCTAGAGCCTTACAGGGCCTTGGCCTTGTCCCTGGTCCCATGGTGCCCTGGTTCTGCTCCCGCACAGAGCTGCGCTAATGGGAGAGGGGCTGGCACGTCTCCTAATGGACATTACACCTCAGCTGCCAGCAGCAGAGCGAGGGGGTGCTGCGGCTGCCTGGCGTGCAAACCCACTGCATCAGGGGGGCGGGGAGAGACAGGGGCCTCATTAGCTAATGGCAGCAGGACTGTGCAGCCAGTGAGCGCTGCTTGGAGAGCAGGGGCTGGGGCAGGGCCGACAGCTCCCCTCTTCCCAGGGAGCCTGGCTGGGGGCAGGGGAGAGGTGTGCACTCAGGCCGGGGAAGAGCATGGGGGCAGAGGTGAGCACCAAGGGGCCGCCCAGGCTCAGCCTGGGATGGAGGGTCCCAGCAGGCCCCTGGGAAGCCTGATGTTCATTGTACAAAGGGGAAACTGAGGCACGGGGAGGTGAGACGTGCCCAAGGTCAGGCAGGGAATAGAACCCTGGAGTCCTGATGCCCAAACACCAGTTGCTGTAACCACTAATCCACACTCCCCTCCCAGAGCGGTCAACTTCACACCCTGATTGTGCCCAGCCCTGGGAAAGCCTCAGGAAGCGATTTTGGTGCCTGGTGTCTTCCTGCTAGCTCAGACAGTGGGGTGACCCACGGGATAGCGGGGGCAGGCTGGGAAAGGGTCTGCCTCCCCCAGGGCCTCTGGCCAGAAGAAGAGAGTGTACCCCGCCCCCCCGTGTGCATATGGCTACAGGGTGCGTCCCCCTGTCCCCAACCTGTAGCAGGACGGCAGCAGCCCCTGGATGAGGTGGGGGGCCCTTCCCCCACTTGGCAGCCAGTGCTAGCTGGCAGCCAGCCCCAGGAGGAAGGGGGGGTAATGGAAGGGCTGGGATACCGCCAGGCGGGGCAGCGCCAGCCCGCAGTCTCCTGGCACCACTCCTCTCCCGAGCCCAGCCCGGGTCAATGAGACGTTTCATCAAGATTAGCCAAATGAATTAGCTGATGGTGGTCCCTGGACGGCGGGATTTATGGCCAGCTGCAGCAAGAACAGCTAGTACCCTGGGTGAGGGGAGGGAGGGAACAGCCAGGGATCCCTGGCACTCGGCTCCCCCTGCAGAGTGGGGCTTTCTGGAACTGGGTTGCGAGTCAAGGCGTCGGCACAGCAATGCAACCTGTTCCGTCGCAGACGGGAAAGGGGCCTGGCCAGAAAGCTGGGGGCTCAACTCCTAGCACCGGGCAGCTTGGCAATGGGGGCGGGGATGAGGCGCAGCTGGGGAAGGAGGAGTTGAACCAACCCCCCCATGCTGGCTCAGCAGGTAGGAAGGCGAAGTGCCAGCCACCAGCTCCCGGACAGCCCGTGTTTCCCTGCGTGGGCCCCCAGCCCGATCAACTTCCACCCCGTGGGCTGGATACCGAAAGGGACCCCTGGTCCCCGCAGCCTGCACAAGGGGATTCAGAGACAGAACCGGAGTGAAGGAACCTCCCCCCTCCCCGCACACGCCCCGGCACCTACTTTGGCCTTCTCCAGCTGTGCCAGGGCCTGGCGCTCGGCCTCCTTCCGCAGCGCCTCGCGATCCTCCTCCAGAGACACATCTGAGTCCGAGGGGCGGCTGGTGTAGGAATCCGCGGAGCCCTGGGGGAGCAAGCACCCGCATCAGAAGGGGGGGAGCCATGGCCACACAGCCGAGTGAGCCCATTTAGAGCAGCAGGAGATACCCAGGGGGATGCACTGATCACCCTGTGAAACTGCGGGGACAGGGCCCAGCTGCCGGCCGCGCTAGAGCCGGTTGGATTTCATTCATTATGCACCCATCACCGTGGCCTCTGGCCACTTTAGAAACAAACCATTGACCAGCACAGCCCATCCCGGGCTGTAGCAACCCCCACCTCTGGCACACGGGGTAAAACCTCCATGGTGTGAGCTACAGACAAGCCCCTAAGGGACCTTACACCCCTGCGGGGCAGGAGGGTTTGTAGGACTCTGGGGCTCTGCCAGCTCTGGAAGGGGAGTGGGGTCCAACATAGTGACTATAGTGCAGGAGTCAGGACTCCTGGGTTCCATTCCCGGCCCTGCCGCTGACTCTCTGTGCCTCAGTTCCCCCTAGCGTGGCGAGGGTTAAGCTGAGTGGCAGGGAACGAGGTGCAGCTGTTCTCACCGCTCTGGGATGGAACGTGATAGCGGGGATGGGACAGGGCAGCGCCAGGCTCGGGGGTGGCATCAGACCCCATGAAAGCACCAGCACTGGCAAGAGAAACAGGGCCACAGGCTGGGAGTGGGGGGGCACCTAGAAACAGACAGTCTCCCTGGGGTAAGGGGCCTGGAAACCCACATCCTTAATGGAGCAGGGGCAGGAGGACCAACAAGGAGTGGGGTGGTGAGTGAGACCCAGGGGCCACCTCTGGGACTGTTCTCTTGTTCCTAGATCTAAAGGGCTGAGTACTGCTGAGCGGGGCCCTCCACATGGGGCAGGAGGGGAGGGGGCAAGGAATGAGGAGGGAGCTGGCCTGGGGCCAAGGGATCCTAGCAAATCCCCTGCCACATCCATGCTATTTCTGAGGCTCCCAGGAAGCCCTGATTGCAGCTTCCAAAGGGTTAATGCCCTGTGCTGGCCAGTGGGTGTCTGATCCAATGGGGAGAGGGTCCCTGGCCTGTCCCACATCCCCAGCATGAGCCGCCTACCCACAGGCTGAGGCCTGCTAACGAAGCTGTCAAAGTGCTCTGCTCCCACCCGGCGCCTCAGCGTCGGGGGTCCCGATGCTGGTGGGGAAACTGAGGCCCCGAGCTTGGCAGTGAACTCAGGGGAGGGAGGAGGCGAAGAGTCCACATGGGGATGGGAGGCATCTGTCCTTTGTGGGGGCAGGCCCCTGCGTTCTGGTGGACCCTGACACACGTCCCCCTGGGGATCAGTGCAGGGGAGACAGGACTGGGCAAGCTCTCGGCCCTGACTGTGACGAATGGCGCTTCCTAGTCACTGGAGAGCCCTGGCAGGGCCGTGAACGCGGGAGCAGGCGCCCAGAGAGAAGGCATCCCAGCTGCTGCCATGGGGCACTGGGTCTGGCGCTGCTCCAGCCTTGCCCAGTCATACCAATACAATGTGGGCACTGAGCTCAGGGGCCGGGTTTGTTCAGGAAATCGGGGCATCCAAGGAAGGGGGGTTAACCGTGAAGGGCAGTTTAGAGAGGCCCCCCGCACTGTTCTCCTAACACCCCTCAATCCCGACCCTCAGTCGCCCCACTATGCCAATTCCTGCCCCCCAACTCTGCCAAGGCCCTGAATCCCGACCCAGTGCCCTGCGGAGCAGAGGCTGCTAATGACCCTGCATCACCAAACAGGTGACCCCCGGGGAAGGGGAGGACCAGCAAACTCATTTCCCTGACTGGCCCGGGGACTCTTGTGTTCTCTTGGGGCACCTCCCGTTTCAGTCCTGCTGCGGGGTTCCCAGACAGCTTCCAAGTCTCCGGGACCCGGGGGCAGAGATGGCAACCCTCAGCCACGCAGCTGCCTCTGCCGGAGCCCCCGAAACATCCGCACTAATTAGTCAGCTCTCAACCCACCCAGCGAGTTTATCTACCTCCCCGGCTGTGTCAGGAATGGGGGAGCAGCACCCCCGGCTGGCAGCTCAGCGGGGATCGAGGAACCGACGGGGCTCCCCTTTAATCACAGGCACTCAGTGCTCGGGATCTAAATTAAACTTGCTGCTTTCTCCGGAACCCCAATAACTGAACGACCCCCAAGGGGCCAGGAGCTGAGGGCAGGGGGCTATTCTCAGGCCAACCAGAGGGGGCGCTGCAGAGCCCCACAGAGCATTTTCCCCCCCCTCGCCCCCCAAACCGTGCCAGCCTCCTCTCAGGGCAGTTCCAGGTGCCCTTCGCTCCCAGCTGGGTTTAAACACACCAGCAGGTTTCACTCGATCAAACATAGATGCATCCTCTAAGGAGGCCCCCCAGAGAGAGTCAATGGGGGGGGGACCTGCTGAGGGGGCCAGCCTGTGCTGTGCGAGGATGGATGGATCTTTGCAAGCCTGGGCTAACATCAGTCAGGAGTGGAGATGATTTAGCTGGATCCGGCTGGAGGGGGACCACCTCCCCGCAGAGACATGCAAACCCTCCCCCCTCCGATTTCCCCTTTCTGGCCCCCCAACTCTGGCCAGGCAGCCCGGGAGCAGGGCTAACCCACACAGACGGGGTTCGAAGCCAAGGTAGCAGTGTACTCACCTCCTCTGAGTCGTCCAGCCAATACAGATACATCCTGGCCGTGAGCGGGGGCACACAGAAGGGGGGGCAGCCCAGCTGGGAGGGGGGCCCCAGTCAGAGGTGCGGAGGGCTTTGGGAGACGAGGCTAGCAGGCAAGGCGGGGAAGCCACGACCCAGTTTTGCTGAGTATCAAGGGCTTCGGGAGTGGGAATCGGCGCCCCGGGGTGGGGTGGGTGGGAGGCCCTGGGGCTGATCTCTCAGAGGTACCATTTGCCCTGCCCCAGGGCTGGGGGAGGCAAGCTCATGAGGAAGTGCTGCCCGGCTTCCCTGCCTCGGACCGGACCGGAGACACCGGCAGGCAGGAGTTGGAAAGAGCCAGGAGCGGATGACGTGGGGCCGGGACGCGATTGGCTCAGCGACCGAGCGAGTGTCATAGATGAGTGGAGCCGGCATGTGGCCCAGCTGGGGACGTGTGCGGGGGATCGCAGGCCCTTTAAGAAGGAGGACGCTGTTCTGAAGCCCTGCAAAGTGAAACGGGGGTGCTGGGAGGGAGCCCTGCCCTGGGGGGAGGGGAACAACCCGCCCAGCTGAGAGGGATTTCTGGACACACGGGGGTTTAGCGAGCAGCTACCGTGCTGGGATGTGCCACGGAGCAAAGGCACTGGATCAGGGGCCAGGGATGGCACCTAGCCCTGGCCGTGCCAACGGGAGCTGTGCTTGGGGTTGCGCAGTCGTGGAGCACACGGAGCCAAAACGAATGGGAATAGGGGATGGGGGGCGAGAGGGAACTGTCTGGATCCAGACTTCCCCAGCAGCCCTTATTTGCTTCTCCAGCCCCTCGACCCAGAGTATTTGAGCCCCTGCCGCATGCTAATGAACTCCAAGAGGTGGGTCAGGATCCAGTGGGGGAAACTGAGGCACAGCGCGGCACCACAGGGCCAGATTTCCAAGTGCGTAGCCCTATGGAAAATCCCACCCCATCGTGGGGGCTGCGCCCTGAAAATTCAGGCCCAAGGTCCCACAGAGATTCAGCGGCGGAGCCGGAATTCGAACGCAGATCTCCTGAGGCCTAGACCACAACCCCGACCCATACCCTTCCTTTCCCGGTTCTCAGCCCTCCAAGAATTTTCCCCTCTCCCCACTAATTCCTTTGTAAACGTGTAGCCGGCAAACAGTCTGTTACTGGTCTGCGACCAGAGGAACCTGTCCCCCCATGACTGGGTACCTCAGAGATCACCAGAATTTCATGGGGGCCGGGAGGGGTCACTGATACATTGACACAGCACAAGATTCCCAATGTGCTTCCCAAGCTCTCTGTAAGCCGTGCCGTCTCCCGCCCCCCGCCATGCAGCCACCTCGGAGTGGAACGCTCAGCAACAAACAGGCAATGGGGGAGTCTGAACCCCCGTGCATGGTCAGGACCTAGGTTTTACATCTCCAGACACAGTCCCTAGAACAGCAGAGCGCCTCCTAGTGCCGAGCTGGAATACTGGGGTCAGCACCGATTCCAAGGGCAGGATGGCCCGTACTGAGCACCCTCATCCCTCTCCCGGAGCATGGCGCCCCCCTAGTGCCACCCTGGAGCATTGGGGTCAGCACTGACCCAGAAGGGAGAGCGTCCCCTCGCCTCTCACTCCCTGATGCCCAAGATAACTATTGCGCAACCCATTGGGAGGAGGGACAATTCCAGCCTGCTCCCTACGACCAGGAATCCCCGCCAGTGCCTCCCCATGCCATGGCGCGTCCTGCTCCTCCCCCACCCGGAGCCTCAGCCCCCAAGCTCCCGGAAGTATTGGGGGGGGGGGGGGCGAAAAAACACACCCACCCAGAGGGCTCCCTGTGCGGGGGGAGGGGGGAGGAGAGGTTCTCTGTACTGAGATCATGGATGGACAGGAATGTGGAAGGGAGGGCAAAGGGGCATCTGGGGGGAGAGTGGGGCAGAGGGGTTATGGGGAATTCTGGCTGGGAAAGAAGCAGGGGCTGGGGGGGCATGGGCTGCAGTAGAAGCGAGGTTCTTGGGGGGGCTGGGAATGGAGCGAGGAGGAAGCAGGAGGTGGAAGAAGGCTGC